TCTGTCGTATTCCCCTCTGCCCACACACAAACCTGTACACAAACCGCACCCCTCGCCCCTCCATCCACCAACTCACCACTCCCACCTTACTTCCCCCTCACTCCCTTCCCCCCCCCCTCCCCCCCCCCCCCTCCTCCCCCCCCTTCTTCCCCCCTTCCCTCCCCTCCCTCCCCCCCTCCTCTTGCCTCCCCTCCCCCTCCCTCCTCCCCCTCCCCTCCCTCCTCCCCCTCCCCTCCCTCCTCCCCCTCCTGTCACTGTCGTGACCTTACCCATCCCGCCGTCCTCCTTCACCATCGCTTGGGTCATCCCAACTTTGCCACCCTTCGTCAATCTGTCTCCTCTCAACTTCTTGAAGGACTTCCCCTCACCCTCCCCCCTCTCCCCCCGTCGCCCTCCCCTCCCTGCTCAGTTTGCGTTGAAAGCAAACTAAAGTAAGCCCCCCACAAGAGTCATCCCTCCTTCTCTCCCCAACCCATTGATCTCGTCCACATGGACCTCTGGGGCCCCAATCCCACCCCCACCAGGCAAGGTCATCGCTACCTGCTCATACTGGTAGATGACCACAGTCGGTACTCCACTGTCTCTCTCCTTCGCAAGAAGGCGGAGGCCCCGGCTGCCATTATTGCCTGGGCTGAACAAGCACGCACCCATTTCAAACGCCCTGTCTCTCGCTTCCATTCCGATGGCGGCGGTGAGTTCCTTAACCGGATGCTTTCCTCCTACTGCTCCACCCATGGCATTATCCACACCTACACCCTTCCTCATTCCCCTCAGCAAAATGGTGTGGCGGAGAGCAGGGTTCGGGAGGTCACCAAGACCGCTCGATGCCTCATGGTCCATGCCTCCTGCCCGCCTTCTCTGTGGGGTTATGCTATCCTCCACGCCGCCATCCTCACTAATCTCTACCCCCATCCCTCACGGCCCACCACTACTCCCACCGAACTCTGGACCTCCACTAAACCCGACATCTCCCCCCTGCGCGTGTGGGGCTCCAAGGCGTATGTTCTCATACACCCTGAGGACCGTTCACGTGCAGCTGGGAAACTTGCCTCCCGCACCCTCCCTTGCATCTTCATTGGTCATAACCCCACCTCCCCGGACTACCTCTTCCTCCACCGCCCCTCAGGTCGTCTCATTCGTAGTCGGGATGTGGTTTTTGATGAAGCCAATCCGTACTACACCTCCCCCTCCGCCCCTAACCCCCTCCCCCTCACCATACGTCCTCTCCTCTGGACTGACACTGTCATCACCCCTCCCCTTCAACCTCCCCCCACCCTGGTCATACCCGCCGCACCCCCACCCCCTCCCCCCTCTCTCCCAACCTCCTCAGGGGACATCCTTGACCCGGCTGCCCCACCCTCCCCTTCCGCTGTAACTCCCTCTCCCCCCACTGACCCTCCCCCTCTCCCCGCTGAACCCCCCCCTCCCTCCCCACCCCCTCCCCCTCCCTCTCCATCCCCTCCCCCCCTGAACTCTCCCCCCCCCCTCCCCTCTCCCAACCTCCACCCTCCCCATCTCCTCCTCCGCCCCCTTCCCCTCCACCATCTCGGCCCTTACTTTCGTCCCCTCCTCTGCTCCTTCGTCACTACCCTCACACCCGCTCCACAGTCCCCATCCTTGGTCCCCCACGGTCCAATCACCTCTCCCTCCAGTCTCTCACATCCATTCCACTCCTCCACCACTCTAGCACTTCCCCACTCCCCCGCACCAGCCCCTCAGGTTCTCACACCAGCCGCGCTCCCGTCTCCCTGCCCCTCACGGCAACTCAGCGCAGCAGAGCAGCATTGCAGCTGTCTCCTCGCCCCGACCCTCGGCGCAGCAGAGCAGCAGTGCAGCCGTGTTCCCGCTCCAGCCTGACCCTCCAGCGCAGCTGTCTTGCATCTTCACCGCCTCCTCTTCCTCCTCCTCTCTCTCCGGACCTCTATGAAGACTCTCATGATGAACTCCTTTTCCTCCACCTCCTCTCACCCACCATCGCCCCTGTCGTCCGCACCATGGCTGGTACTACGGTCCTTCTTTTCTCCAACACCCCCACCATCTACGAACCCACCACCTACGAGCAAGCAATTGCATGTCTTGACGCACCTCTCTGGATCGAGGCCATGGTCAAGGAATGCAACGCCTTCATCCACAACCGCTCTTTCCTCGACGTCCCTCGCCCCTCCAAGCACAACGTGGTCAAAGGCAGGTGGCTCTTCCGAGTAAAACTACTCCCTGGTGAAGCTCCTGTCTACAAGGCTCGGTATGTGGCGAAAGGCTTTACACAGACTTATGGCTCGGACTTCTTCGAGACCTACTCACCTACCGCCACTCCGCCGGTCATTCGCGTGTTTCTGGACTTCGTTGGCAGACGCGGGATGCTCCTCCACTCCATGGATGTCACCACGGCCTTCTTACAAGGCGACCTCCACGAACTCATCTTCTTGGAACGTCCCAAGGGCTTCCACGCTCCTCACGACCCTGCCACCGTCTGGAAACTACTACGCCCTGTTTACGGGCTCAAACAAGCACCTCGAGAATGGCACGCCAAACTCTCATCCACCCTTCGCGCACTTGGCTTTCGCCCCTCCCGTGCTGCCTCTTGCCTCTTCCTTCGCTTAACTCCGTCACCCTTCTTCATCCTCGTCTACGTCGACGACATGCTGCTAGCAGCTGAGACAGCTGCTGAACTTCAGGAGGTCAAGGATGAGCTGCAGCAACGTCTCGCCTGCAAAGATCTGGGGGAAGTCCGCAACTACCTTGGCATGGAGATCACCCGCGACCTCACTGCCAAGACTATCACCCTCTCTCAGTCATTCTACATCGGGAAGGTGCTCGAGAGATTCGGCATGTCCAAATCCAAACCCATCCCCACACCACTTGCATTCGGGCATCGGCTGTCCCCTCCAGCCACTCCTGTCACCTCCCCTCATCCCTATGCAGAACTCGTTGGGGCCCTGATGTACGCCATGGTCTGCACTCGTCCCGACCTTGCATACCCCGTCAGTGTCCTGGCGCGGTTTGTTGGCACTGGCAGGCATGGTGAGGAGCACTGGAAGGCGGCCATGCGTGTTCTGCGCTACCTCCAAGGCACAAAGGACTATGGCCTCACGCTTGGTGGTGTGGACCCACCTGTTCTTCAAGGCTTCAGTGACTCATCTTGGGCGGATGCACAGCCGGACCATCGCAGTTCTCAAGGATATGGCTTCTCCCTTGGGAGCGGCCTCATCAGCTGGCGCTCCACTCGCTCCTCCTCCGTCGCCCTCTCCTCCTGCGAAGCCGAGCTGTACGCAGTCACCATGGCGGCTCAAGAGGCACGCTGGCTTAGCTATCTTCTCACCGACCTTGGCTCACCACAGCCCTGCCCCACCCTGTGGTGTGACAACGATAGTACCATCCACCTCACCAAGGAGGCCGTCTTTCATGGTCGCTCCAAACACATCGAACTCCGCTACTACTTTGTCCGCGATCTTGTGCAAGATGGTCACATCACTGTTCGTAAAATCGACTCGTCCGCCAACCTCGCTGACCTCTTCACCAAGGCTCTCCATCGCTCTAACCACTCTGCGCTCCTGCGCCTTCAGGGACTTGCTCCCCGCGGTGGCTGATTCAGGGGTTGTTGCGTTCTCTCTTCCAAAGCCTATGGATTTCTGCAGGTTAAGGGGTTGTGTCAGATTACCATCTTCATTGTAACCTGCATCATCATATAAGCTTTGACTAGAGATAGGCACCCAAACTTAGTTTGGGTGCACAACTAGGGTTTACCCTAGTTTGAGGTTGGAACCCAACCTTGGCCCAATTATTGGGCCCCCAAGGTTGGGTTGGGAGATTATTGGCCCCCCCAATAATGTTGACCCACTTTTGGTCAACATTATTGGTCCCCCCAATAACTCCTCAACCCAACTTATTGGTGGGGGCCAATAATGTTGGCATGGCTCCTACATCCTAGCTCAACTATGTAAACCCATGCCCTTCCTAATGAAACTATCGGTTGTTCTTACACTTTCTCACAACCACCACTCATGAAATCATGTGTTCTGCTTGGCATACATGTTTCATGGCCCAGGTCCGCTCTCGCTGCGCCAGAGGTTGCGCCTGGCACAGGGAACAGCAGAGGGCTTGGCATACCTGCACGGGTTTGAGACGCCCATCGTTCACCGCGACATCAAGCCAGCCAACATCCTTGTGACTGGAGACATGCAAGCCAAGGTGGCTGACTTTGGGCTGCTCAAGCGCCTTACTCACGGCGATGCTGATGCCACGCGGGTGGCCGGCACTCCAGGCTACGTGGATCCAGATTACAACCGCACCCAAATCATCACTGTCAAGAGTGATGTGTTCAGGTCCGCATTCTTGTTCCATTGCACAACGCAAATGTGTTTATATAAATATATCCGGGTTACAACCACACCAACGTCATCACTGTCAAGAGTGACGTGTTCATGTCTGCATGCTTCTTCCTTTGCATAACGCAATTGTGTTTATACATATATGTATATATATTTATATATTTATATTTATCTTCCAGGTTATGCTCTTTATTGCTATCTTTACCACTGTACATGCTTGTTCCTTTGCATGACAGATGAACTTGTGCACTTTTTGTTTATCCTCTTGGCTATGTTGAGTTCGTGTACCTTGTATTGCTATCTCTACATCTGTCCATTTCTTTGTGAGTCTTTTCAAATGGATGATTGCTTGCAGCTTTGGAATTGTGCTTCTTCAGCTGCTGAGTGGCAAGTCACCCCACGTCGACCCAACAACACATATAAGAAAATGGGTATGCACATCAAGTATGAAACCCTTTTTTGTTTTGGGTAAGAGTTTAAAAGTTGTAGATAAGAGAATGAATATGCTTATAAGATGTAAAATTCGTCTGGCTCCATTACTTTATGGTTGAATGTTTATCATGGAGTCCCTTTTATGCTGATTTTCACTGCCTCCTTGTTACCATGCTGGCTTTCACTTCCCTTGCTGCTTCTCATGCTGCTTCGCTTTGCCTCGCCGATCATCACCTATTCATGTTTGTGTACATTGCCCTCCAGGCTATGAAGCTGGTGGAGGCTTATGAGGTGGATGAGCTGAGGGACAGCAAGATGCCAGCGGCAAGTGAGGAGGCCATAGTGGACTTTGCAGACCTGGCTCTGGACTGCATCAAGTCTCCCGGCACACGGCGACCCACCATGAAGGATGTGGCATACCGCCTCAGTGCCCTCATTGCCAAGCACTGCCCCGACAGGGAGGACGAGTGGGAGAGCGCCGTGAAAGAAGAGAGTGAAGGCAATGAGGGTATGTCTTCAAGGGATGTTTCTGCTGTGCCGTTTGGAGATAGTGAGAGGGAGTCTGGGAGGGAGTCTGGGAGGTCATATAACTCATGGTCTGGTGTGAGCTCATTCTTGCGCATTGGTTCAATAGGTGATGGCCCTAAGAGGTGGCTGCAGCTGAAGCCAACCAAAGGGCGTTGAATTTGCCCATACCTATTGACTCCATGTGGACTGTTTAGCACGGAACTAGAAATCCAGTACATGAGTAGCAGTAGGGCAGGAGCACTAGGGTCCTACAGTATCTGCGAGGCGATAATATCTAAAAGCAGTCTGGTGATTGTCCTTGTTGGTAACTGATTCATAAGACTGGGAGAGGCAAGAAGCACACAGAAGAATCTATAGGCTCAACTGACAAGTGCCAACACATGAAAGATGCAAGAAGATTCTGACAGGCACAATGGGTGAGGTGAGAGGAAGCCACTCAACGAAAGCCACACCGTACATTTGGGAGGTGCCTCAAGGGGCATGAGTTGAAAAGGCAAGCCATAGCATGAGTGCTGCATAGGAGAATGGCATGGCAGCCAGCCAAGATTGATGCTGGAGAGTGGTACTTGCATTGCAAACCAAGGAACGAGCCGTGGGGTTGGCACTTGCATTGACAACAAAGTGAATACTCGCTGGCTACCAGTCATGCCAGTGAATGGATGGAGGGACACACTCTGCCTAGGTAACTGTCGTGAGACAGAATCATGCCGCTGCCGTGCCCGTAATGCGAGTCAGGACTGCAAGGCCAGCAACTTGCTGAACCGTGCAACAGGAGGTTGCATCACAAGCAACCCAGGATGCACTGTCATCAATGTCACTGATGATGTCATCAATACATCACTGCTGTGGTCATCCCCATCACATGTCATTTTGTGACCACGGTCAATTGTCTAGGATCAAAATGTCCGCGTCTTGCCCTCTGCAGATACACACACACAGCACCGAAGGGACAGGCAAGAGAGTGAGCAGGGAAGAAGGGAATGAGACCACAGCAGCAGAGCACCCACAGCTTCTGCCACGCATGCTTGAGCAATAGCCACTATACACATTCACAACCAGCCCTGCACTACTCACAGCGCATGCGTGCGAATGAGCAGGTCTCCCTCTCTGCATCGGGCCATCCCCTTCCATTGTTCCAAGCGCCTGCTCGGCTGAGTCTTGCCTCGCCACAACACCCGCCCGCTGCCTGCTCCGCCTTCGCTGCTCCCCTCCCGCCCGCTGCCCCCCTCGCTTCTTCTGCCCCCAACCCTCACTGCTGGTGCCACCGCTTGCTGCCGTGCCGTCGTCGCCCTCTCCTGCTGCGTGTCTGTCCGTGAGCGTCGCATGGGAGGTGGTGCAGGCACAGTGTTCACATCTGCACCCACCACTTCTTTCTCCTCCCTTCGCTCCCGCGCCCTCCTCTCCTGCCTCGTGTCAGTGCGGGATCGACGCATGGGTGGCGCCGCTGCTATTTACATTCCCACATCTTGTTTCACACACGCAAGAATGATGTGGATTAGGTCATGGTTGGGGTACATAGCAAAAGTGTCGAGATGATTTCTGTACCCCCTAAGGCTAGCCCCAATATAGCCTAGATAACAACATGCATATGTTTTGACACACCCCCATAGGCAAGATGGGGGATAGCCAGAGCAAGCAATGGTCACAAGACCAGTCAAGAGAAGAAACAAAGACACAGCTCAAGGTGGATCACAAAGTCACCACACACACTGAGCACAAGCAAGAGGCCACAAGGCCAGTTCACATGCAGAGTTATAAAATTACAAGCAATACAGTGATCACAACCTAGCAGGTGTAAACATGCAGGTATATATATAGTCACAGTACAAGCAAGGTCAGGAAGTGAGCAAGTGAGGCCAAGCAGGCACGAGACCTAGCATCGTACAGAAGCGCTGATGATCACAAGGCGGAAGTGCCTTGGTGAAGATATCAGCAGTGTTGGCCCGAGTGGCCACGTAAGCAAGACGCAGCTGACCACGCTGCTGCAGCTCACGAGCAAGGAAGTAGCGAAGAGCAATGTGCTTCGTTCTGTGCTCCAGTCTGTGCTCCTGACACAAGGCCAGCATGGCCTTGTTGTCTACGTACAGAACTGGAGGAGAACGAGGCGGCTCTCCCAGGTCAGTCAGCAGGTAGGTCAGCCAGCGTAACTCCTGAGCAGCCATGGCTCCTGCGTAGATCTCAGCCTCACAGCTAGAGCTGAGAACAGACGACGAGCGGGTAGACCGCCAAGAGACAGAGCCGGAACCAAGGCTGAAGGTGTAACCCTGTGACGACCGCTGCGTAGCCAGGTCGTCGACCCAAGACGCGTCTGCGTGACCAGTGAGGACCACTCGACTCCGCCCTCCAAGCACGAGCCCCATGCCCGACGTACTGCACAAGTAGCGCAACACCCTCTTCGCTACAGCCATGTGCTCTGGTCGGTGTCTCCCAGGAGCAACATAGCGTGCCAGGATGCTAAGAGGGTAGGCCAGGTCAGGTCGTGTGCAGGTCATCAGGTACATGAGGCAGCCAACAAGCTCTGGGTACGGGCCACTCGGCTCTACGGACTCATCCGAAGGCAGAGCTGAGAGCGAGTGGCGAGTAGACAGAGGAGTGGCCTGAGGCGAGGAGTACGTGAAGTCGAAGCGCTGAAGGATCTGCTGCACCATGTGTGACTGAGTCAGGGTAATGGTGCGCCGTGCTCTGTCCCGAGTGATCTGCAGGCCAAGATAGCTGCGCAGTTCACCCAGGTCTGTGCACGTGTGTCGCTTCTGCAGCTCGGACTTCACGTAGGCGAGTCCAGCAGTGTCAGCTGTAGCAAAGACCAAGTCGTCGACGTACACGAGGATGTAGAACGGCGGCAAAGAGGTGTTGGTGCGTAGAAACAGCGACGGGTCTGCAGTAGAAGGAGCAAACCCAAGAGCCGCAAGCGTAGTCCTCAGTGTGTCGTGCCACTCACGCGGCGCCTGGCGGAGACCGTAGACTGGCCGCCGGAGGCTCCACTGGGTACCAGGAGGAAACGACCCAGTGAAGCCAGGTGGGCGGCGCAGCCAGATCTCCTCGTGCAGGCTGCCCTGTAGGAAAGCTGTGCTGAAGTCTAGAGAGTGAAGCTCGTAGTCACGGTGAGCGGCTATGTGTAGCAGCACCCGAAGAGTGGTCATCTTCGGGGTGGGAGAGAAGGTCTGAAAGTAGTCAACTCCCTGCCGCTGACTGAAGCCTCGAGCCACGTAACGCGCCTTGAAGACAGGCGGAGAACCCGGCGGCCGCTTCACCCTGAAAATCCACATGCCACTGACAATGTTCGCCCCAGGTGGGGGAACCTTGTCAACGTAGGTGCCTGTGGACTTCCAGGAAGCCATCTCTGCGTCCATGGCTGCCTGCCACTGAGAGGAGTAGGGACCCTCTATCGCCTCCGCGTAAGAGCGCGGAGTCGGGATGTCTGGTGCATCCGGGTCTCCCTCAGGGGCAAGCAGCATGGCCACGAGATGAGGTAAAGCAGCAGCAAGACACTGGAACTCCTCCTGCCTGTCCTCAAGGACGTCCGTGCTAAGAGCACACTCACCCCCGACGGACGGAGGACAGACAGACTCAGACTCAGCAACAAGACTAGTGGCGTAGTCTAGACGACAGGCAGCAGCAAAGTCAACAAGCTCAGCGACCAAGGCAGACGCAACAGTAGACTCAAACGACGGGTCAGTGACAACAGTGGCTAACAGACGCGTGACAGTAGGGTGCTCAGCACGAAACTGGTCAGACGCAGGGTCCGGAACGGCAGGCAGAGAGGACGCAGGGGGAGACGGCAGAGGAACAGACTGCGGAACAGAGGAAGGACGACGGACAACAAGGTGTGCACTGGGGACAGCCGGCTGACGCGAACGAGAAACGCGACGACCAGGACGACCAGAACGAACAGGCGAGACAGGACGCGACGCAGGCTCACGACGCTCAGCAGGACTACCTGTCTGCTCAGTGTAAGGAGAGGGAGCAGGCAGCGGTGAGCCAGTCTGTAACGGAAGACCAGTAGACGACGGGAGAGTAACAACCTGACGAAGAGCAGAGTCAGGCGGCGGCAGAGACGACGGAGACGGCGGAGCGAAGAACAGTCGTGTCGGCGCAGCTGCACCAGCTCCAGCAGCTCCCGTGCCTCCAGCCTCAGAACCGGTACCTCCAGCGCCAGCAGCTCCAGAACCAGCGTCACCAGCAGCCGCACCCCCAGAACCGGCACCTGCAGTCCCAGGGTCTCCAACCGCAGCGTCTCCCGCAGCAGCACCCCCAGAACCAGCACCTCCAATCCCAAAGTCTCCAACCGCAGGGTCTCCCGCAGCAGCACCCCCAGAACCAGCACCTCCAGTCCCAGGGTCTCCAACCGCAGTGTCTCCCGCAGCAGTACCCCCAGAACCAGCACCTCCGGTCCCAGGGTCTCCAACCGCAGTGTCTCCCGCAGCAGCACCCCCAGAACCAGCACCTCCAGTCCCAGGGTCTCCAGCAACGGCACCTCCAGGTGCAGCACCTCCAGTCCCAGCAGCTCCAGTACCCCCAGCAGAGCCCCGGGCTCCAGCAGCGCGACGCTGACGGTGACCGTACCAGTCGTGCAGCTGCTGAGTGGTGAGAGGCACACGTGGACGAAGGCGGCCACTCCAAGTAGGCCGCGCACCAGCAGTCTTAGTACCCTCAAGCGTCTCACCTCCAGACTCAGCACCCCCAGACTCCGCACACACAGGCTCAGTACCCCCAGACACAGCACCCCCAGGCGCAGGACCTCCAGTCTCCGCACGTGCAGACTCAGCACCCCCAGACTCCGCACCCCCAGACGCAGCACCTCCAGGAGCACCACCCCCAACAGCACCAGAGTCAACAGGAACCGGCTGCAGAGGCGGCGAAGAAGGTCGCGGAGGGAACCCTGGAGGGATCTCCAAGCGTGGGGCACGGCGGTAGGCCGCCGGGGCGTCAGCAGCAGCGTCACCCCCCTCAGGTGGGCCAGAGGTGTCGGAAGTGACCTCCAAAGGCTCAGCCAAGGGGGGGGGGTCTACCTGAGACACACCTGAAGGAGCAGGACCCTGAGGGGGGAGGGGGTCTACCGGGGGGGGACCTGGCGTAAAGAAGAGCGGCGGGGGGGGAAGGGGGGCAGCGCGGTAGGGGAAGAGACGGTAGTACGGAACCGACTCGTCAAACGTGAC